GCCAGAGATTCAATTATTATTTGTCTAGCTTCTGAATTTGGTGTCAATCTATTTACAGCTGATGTTAATCTTGGTAAGATATTTGTGATGCTTCCTTTGGGCCCTGTATAACTTTAGTAAATGACTCAATTTTCTTTCTTGCTTCTCCAATTCTGCCCCAAGCATTCAAAGCTGTATGGCATAAATCCAGGGTATAGTCATCATATAGAGATTGCCTTTGTACATCAGCATAACCCCCCTCTCCAAAGAGGTGGTCCTGGGATATTTTCAAACCTTTAGCTCTATTTTGTTGTTCAACGGTCTTAGCCTCATCTTTCCACCAGTTCCTCTTTCCATTTTAACTAAGAACCAGGCTCCAAGACTGCTATAACCAAGTCTCACCAGTCTTGAGAGATAATTCTACTTATTACAAGTTGACCACGATTTTAACATTTGTTTCACAAAAGGTGAATGCATGCCTTATGAGACTATCACTTCCTTGAATCTCCTTAAATCTAACATTGGCACAGGATTCCATTTAACTCTTGCACAGCCTTGGGGATATCTATAATTTGGCAGTTGTTCCTGCAAGGTGACTGAATAAACTAAAGTTGGTTGTTTGAAAACCTTAGGTGGGTCCTCTCTACTTATAAAGCAAGGCTGAAATTGGTTCTCCATTACATTCCTATGTCTGATTATGAATATCTCTATGATCTGTTTTAATAAGTTTCTCAAAGGCTTGTATCTTGGTACTCATATCAACCAACTTTTTCAGAGATAAGTCAAGAATTATCAAACCAACAATAAAGATTATCAAAATGATACTTAACGTTATGCCAATCCTGGTTATAATGTTCATCCTTTCATTTAATTGTTCCAATTTTATACCATCTGTTGTATAATAATACAGAGACCATCTCTATCAAAATAGTGTTTCCCATTTTTTTAATGTGGAAAAAAACTTTCTTTTAACTAATTCCTCCCTTTAAGAATTCCCAATTGGCTCACCAAATCAGCCCACAATCACGGTGAAATGTGAGGCACAGCGTGTCTGGGTGAGAACACAGGTGGCGCACAGTCTGGCTGAGCACAGCTGCAGCTGCTATCATGTACCGTGAGCTGAGAGTGGCAGTCCGAGGAGAGGGGTCTAAGGAAAGCCCACAACCCACAGGGGAGAGGGAGCTGGCTATCTGAAAAACATACATAGGACTGTGCAGAAAAAGCATGTGTGGCGAGCAGCCTGAAGGCAGAGCGAGTTTCGGGTGGGTGAGTCCTGTGGCATTTGGAGCCCAGTGCTTCTTGAGCTTGGGTGGCAGCTGGAGACTGTTGTAGAGAAGCTACAACAGGAAAATCCCAAAATTGCTCAGAGGCTTAGGGAAAAAAGAAATGAAAACCTAGCCAGTGGGGCAGTGACTCCCGTGGGAGCCCCCACATGTGTCAGTGGCTGAAAAAAAAAAATCACAGGCAAGGCAAGTGGCTTTTTTTGTGAATTCATGCCTTAAAGTATAAAGTTGGGCATCAATTGTTAGTCGTATGTGGGTCTCTGTCTCTATCTCCATCCATCGCCAGATGAAGGTTCTATGGTGATATGCAAGATATTCATCAGTGTGGCTATGGGACAAGGCCCCCAAGGTTCAAATGAGGAGCAGAAGGAGGGAGAACATGAACAAGGAAGTCAGGACCACGAGGGGTGCGTCCACCCACTGAGACGGTGGGACGGATCTAATGGGAGCTCACCAAGGCCAGCTGGACTGGGAGTGATGGAACATGTGATCAAATTGGACACTCTGAATGTGCCTGGCAATGAAGGCTGACTGAGAAGTCAAGGACAATGGCACTGGGTTTTGATTCTACTGCAAGGACTGACTTTGTGGGAGCCTGGTTTGTTTGGATGCTCACCTTTATAGACCTGGATGAAGGGGGAGGACTCTGAACTTCCCACAGGGCAGGGAACCCTGACTGCTCTTAGGACTAGAAAGGAAGGGGGAGGTGGGGAGGGAGAGAGAAAAGGGGGGTGGGGAGGAAGTGGAAATTTTTAATAAATAAATAAGTTAATTAATTAAAAAAATTGTTAGTCGTATAGGTTAGTTTAGTACCAAATGTTGCATGAATTCTAATTGGTCTTATTAATTAAAAAAAAAAACAGAGCCAGATACTGGGGCAAATGCTGAAAGATCAGAGAGAGAAAGGTTCAAATCATAGTCAACTCTTGCCTTTCTAACTCCTCAGTGCAAAAGTTCAACCTCATGTCTCCTCCTGACTTATATTCCTCTCTCCGTCCAGCCATATCACCTCTTATCTGTCTGTACAGGCCTCCAGATCTCTATGGTTAACTAGTAGCTAGCACCACCCTCTGATCTTCAGGAAAGTTTTATTTGTTAGAGTAGAAACAAGATATCACCACAAGGAATAGTGATACACACCTTTATCCCAGCACTCAGTAGATGAAGGCAGAAGGAGGAGAAGTTCAAGATCATCTTGGCAATGTGGTGAGCTCGAGGTTTAGGGGGAAAAATTGGAGTAGGAATGAAGAAAATATATGCAAAATAGAATAATAAATCTTCTGACTTGCTGAATATCTTTTTATTGAGAAAACAGATAGACTACTAACAATAGGGGAAAAAAACACAATAAAGGCAGAAGAAAAAGATTACCACAGAGGAAAAAAAAGCTGATCACTGGGATAAACACACAAATCTTTCAAAACACATAAACCAAATAAACTTGGGAGCAAAATGACTTTTATAGAAGGTGTATGATAAAAAAAGACAGTGAGGCTAAAGATAGTAACCATATCAGTAGTTTCACACTGGTTATTGAGTAAATTCAAAACTATTTGCAAAACAAATTCAGAAACTTTAAGAATAAAAAGATGGACAAAGACACATCATGTAAACACAGATAGAGTGGTAATTCTGAAACCTGGCAAAGAAGATTTATAAAAACAAAGTTATAGATAAGGAGTTACTTAAAAATAAGCTTTGTATCAGGTTAAGGACTCTGAACTTAAATCTACAGTCTGGAAGACTAAAGAGAACAAACAGTCAAGAGCCAGGTGTGGACTTCAAACACAGAAGAGACTTAAAACAACAACCTACAAAAGGTAGGCTAGATTGAAGTGAGAAGACAAGCAAGTGATCTAAGTTTGGGTAGGAGGCAGCTACTGCCTGAGTACCTATTCTAGGACAAGAGCTTACATACAGATTTTCAGTAAAGTAAGAAGAGCAAATAAATGAAGGCTGTCTTTAAGAGTAAACAAAAGAAAAAAGGCAAACAAACCTCCAGAAAGAAAGTTAGTATCCACAAAAATCTACAAATATACTCAAAAAGAAAACTGTGGTGGTTTGAATGGTAATGACACCCAAAGTTCATGTATTTGGTTGTCTGGTCACCAATTAGTAGAACTTTGTGGGAAGGAAGTATTTATAGGGGGTAGGGTTTGAGGTTTCATAAGCCCATGCCATTCGAAATCTCCCCCTCCACCCCCCTTATTCCTGGGTAAGCTCTAACCTCTCCACTACTGCCCTGTGCCATGCCTGCCTGCCAGTTGCCATGCTTTCTCTATGTACTAGCACAGACTAGCTCTCTGAAACAGTAAGCAAGCCCCCAGTTAAAAGTTTTCTTGCATAAGCTGACCTGGTAATGAATTCTCTTCACAGCAGGAGAAATGTAACTAAGACCCCCTCCCAAAAAGGATGCTTTTACATGCCTCTTACTTTTTTACTATTTTTTTAATTCTTCCCCAGACCCAAACTTACTAAAGCCAAAATTTAGCAGATATGATTTCTCATTATACATTTAAAACAAAAAGCACCAGTACATCAATATTCAGATTCTATATTAGGACTAATAGCTACATAAAAATTCAAAATAAATTACACATACAAGGCAATTCCCACTGGGGAATGAGTAGAGTTTATAGCAGTAACAGTTTAATAAGATATTTGTTTGTAATGTACAAGGCACTGACTTTCAAAATTCCTTTTTAGGGGCGCTCAGCAGTTAAGGGCACTGGCTGCTCTCCCAGAATTCAATCCTAAATTCAATTCCCATCAACCATATGTTGGCTCACAACCATCTGTAATGAGATCTGGTGCCCTCTTCTGGCCTGCAGGCAGACATTCAGCGGAACACTGTATACATAATAAAAAAAAATCTTTTTTAAAAAATAAAATCCTGTAAATAACAGATAAATAGGAGCTGTAGCAAAGACTGAGCAGTTAGGAGTGTCAGCTGCTCTCCCAGAGGACCATGTGTGCAATCCAGCACACACATGACATCCCCAAGAGATTTATCTGATGCCTTCTGGCCTTAGAGGGCACTGAATGAATGTGGTACACAGACATATATCGAGGCAAAACACACATGCAGAAAAAAAAAATAAAAATTCAAACTTTTCTTTTTTAGTTTTTCGAAACAGTGCTTCTCTGTGTAGCCTTGGCTGTACTGGAACTCACAGTGGGCCAGGTTGACCTTGAACTCACAGAGATCACCACCGGCACCCAGCAAAAATATAAACTTTTTTTTTAAAGAACAGGTAAGTACATATTTTAAAATTGTGGTCATCACTTTGTTACAAGTCATAACATGGAATCTCAATTTTTTTCTACTTAAACTGACCACATACATTCTTCAGGAAAATTTTCTCCTCGTTCAACTTTTGTTTCACTCTCTGCCTTCAACTTAGTCTTCACAATTTCATGCAAAATACATTTTATATGTGTGTGTGTGTGTGTGTGTGTGTGTGTGTGTGTGTGCGTGCACGCACATGCTATGTGTGCAGGGCAAACAACAACTTGTGGGAATTAACTCTCTTCTTCCACCAGCTGGGTTTGGGAAATCATCCAGACTTGGCAGCAAGTCCTTTTACCCAATGCTCAAACCTTTTTTTAAAATAAATAAATAAATAAATAAATAAATAAATAAATAAATAAATAAATAAATTTCACTAAAGTATTTCTAGCTGTTTAATTAAGTAAAGACATTTCAGTCTCATTTCTCTTATGCCATCATGTACTTACATGGGATGGTTCTTAAGTAGAGATTATCTCTGATGACTTGCTGAAGTTTGTGGTCAATTGATCCTTTCTGAAACTGAAGACTCAGGTAGTGCCGCAAATCTTTATTTATGACTTTGCCTTTAAAAAAAAAGTAATTATTAGATACTCACTTAAGTATATAAAATAATGATCAAATAGCTTTAAATCATTTAGCTAATAACAGGACAAGGAAATCAGTATTTGATTTACAAGAAGATAAGAATTCTATAGGTACTGTAATTAAAATAAATGACTGCAATATAATGCAGGCATAATTTTATGTGGCAGGAGAACATATAGTGCAGAGAATATGATGAGTATTCACAGTAATTTCATTCAGTCTCATGGCTTTAACTACCACCATATTTTAAAAGCCCCAAATCCAGATTCTTACACGTTATCTCTACTTTACGTCACTCACATACACTGCAGATGACATAAGCATCTCAACTTTCAAACAGACAACACAAGACTCTTCCACTATCCCCCCAGTTTTCTCTCTTAGAAAATAACAGCACCACCAGCTGGAAGAACAATTCCTAACTCGAAGTCATCTTTGATTTCTCTTTTCACCTTTGTCTTCTAGGTCTATCTATTAGCAGTTTTTGCCAGCTGCACTTCCAAACCCTATGCCACTACCCTCCATTTTCAGCAGTGCCATTGAAATCTAATCTACCATCGTCATTTCCCATCTGGAATCTTACCAGGAACCCAGCATCCATTTTTGTCTCCTTTCTTCCCTGCCCCTCACACAGTCACCACCGTGAGACAGAAAACAGATGAGGTCAGTGTTAGTGCCCCCCATCCTCATGACTTTCTGTTGCACTTGAAAAAATCCCAAACTCTTGTTCAAGATGCAATTCCCACATGTTCCAGCTTTGGCAGTCTCTAACCCTAGCTGATTCACTGTGCACTCCTGCTCTTTGAAAAAACATCTGGGCCCTAGACCAGGACCTGCCACCTGTCAGTAGGCAGAGCAGCCAGTCTACTTGTGGATTTCTAAATAGAGTAAATAAGCAAGACAGTCCAATGTTTTCTATTATTTATGTGGAAATGGGGGACAGGAACAGTAAACAGAAGGTGAAGAAATCTCAAAGCTATAAATTTGTAACAAAGACTGGTTTAAATGAAAAGGCAGTGCAAACATTGTTTATTAGACAAGACTGTAGATAATTAGAAAAGATCCATGCTCAGACAAAACATATTATCTCAGTGAATAAGAAATTACTACCTGACTATACTGTGTTTTATTTAGAATAACATACTTAAACAAGGTTTCAAAACAAAAAGATTACTACAGATCAGTTCACCCTTTCATCTACTATTCTATAACACTGCATCTCTATAATCATTTTTGTTCATTTCTACTACACATAAATACACAGAACCTACATGGAAAGATGGTAATATAACCAGGAATCAGTATTTTTTCTAAAGTTTAGAGATAACATAGGGCCTAGTAATAAACACAAACCAAAACAACTCCATTCAATGTCCTAACAAAAATAGGCACTGCAGAAGGGGAGAATGGGAACACTGAGATTAACAGATAACCCTAAAGATATTTACAATGATGAATGCAAAACAACCCCTATCTTACAGCATGCTTATTCCTGATATTTAGGGTCCCACCCCAATTCAAACATAATCATATTGTCTTACTTTTTATGTATACTCCAACATGTATTCATTGCTGAGTAGATGATAAAACCGAACACATAATCAATACTACACAATATTCATTTTACAAAAATCAACCAGATAATGAGTTCATTAAATTCTTTTAAAAATTGGCAACAGGTATCTCAAGTTATTTGTAAATATTTAACAAAAGCTTTGGTGGATTCCAAACACATGGCCGAAAGTGTTTGAGATATTTGGATAGGCATTTTTGGGATAAACAGAGAACGTGTCTGTTTCTTTATCATTTAAAAGAATAACATAGGTTTCAATATTCAAAACTTGGCTCTCCAACATAGCTTCAGGAAAAGGTTTAGTCTTGATAAAATGTAATACAGGTATAACTAAAAACGAGTCAACACTTTATAACTGATCCTTTTCTATTTAAAAATTTCTTTTTATTTATTCTTTGTCTTTCACATCATATCTTTCAATCCCACCCATCTTCCTCCATTCCCAAAATAAGACAAAGTAAAATTTAAAATAAAAAAAGGAAGAATGGGAAAATCTTGTCATGGAAGCTGCAGTGTGATGCAGTAAAGCAGTAAGTCACGAAGTAAATCCCTTTTTATCCGTATATTTTTACATACAGGCATTCATCGCAAAGAATCATTGGTTCAAGGCCGTGATCTCTGCTACACCATCAATGCTGGGCCCTCACTGTGATTCTTCCTGGGCTTCCTGTTGTTGCCCTGTGTCGCAGAGATCCTGCAGCCCCGGGTCCAAAGGACTGACATACTCCCTGACCACAACTACCACCCCCACCCCCACCCCAGGCTCTAGCAGACCACAGATGAGGTGGATGTTGGGGTGGGCCAACACATAACCCTGGTTCTGGGTTTGGGTAGTTGCGGGCTTGGCCAGTCTACCAGCTCTTCTCTGTCTTCACCACTAGGGTTAGCTGACCAGTATTGCCCTGGATAATTCAAAGAATGAGCAAGGGGCACGGCAGGTCTTCACCTCCTAAGGGCTGATTCTCCCACACCCACACCTACAGGGCCAGCTCTAAGGTGCTGTCCAAGTGAGGTGTAGAATCCGCAGCTGATGAGGGGAACACAGAGTTAGCTCTAGCTTTCATAATCTCTGGGCCAGCTCTTCCACCTGCCTCAGGGGTTGATGGGAGCGGGGGCAGGAAGGAGGGTTGGACAGCAACCCTCACTAGATGCAACCACATGACAGATGAGTAATAGGGATAAATGTCTCATACTCACAACGTAATTTACTTTTCTTACACTCAAAACTTTAAGGATATGGCACAACTTAGAGATAAATATAAAATGCTAAAACCTAGATTAGATTTTAAGTTACAAAAATAATGTTTTTTAGCTTAGAGATAACTAAAAGATAAAGCCACAATAAAGTCCTAAATCATAAATTATCAAGCATGATGAATCTCTTAAGGGGAAATGGTGTCAAAGCAAATCTTATTTTAAGAGAATTTGATATGTTAAAGCCAGAAAAGGCTAAATTTAAAGAGTAATGTGCATAATTATCAGAATTGGAATAACACCACTAACTTTTTTTTTTTTTACCATTAACTTCTACTGGAATGAGCAGTTACAAAGAAAATGAGAAGAGACAATTATATTAAAAGCTGACATCTTATTTTAAATGTGCAACTAGAGGCTAAAGGTAGAATTCTTGCTTATCATCACTAAAACTGAAAATAAACCTGGAACTATTTTGAGAAACTCAAAATTTTTTGTTTTTATTTTATATTTATGAGTATTTTGCTTGCATGGATGTATGTGTACCACATGTGTCCTGGTGCTGGAAGAGGCAAGAAGAGGGTCTCAGATTTCCTGGATCTGGAGTTAGGAATGGGAATGAACCACCATGTGGGTTCTGGAAAACAAACCAGAGTACTCAGTAAGAGTAGTAAGTGCTTTTAAGTGTTATTCAATTCTCCAGCACTTCCATCATTGTTTTGTTTGTTTTTGTTTTTTCAAAGAAGACAAAATACTGTAACCCTCAGTGATTTATATATAATGAAACTTTAATAAAACTGGTTAGTTCACAGAACCTTGACATTTTAAGTGCATGGAAAACATCTAGTTGGGGCTAGAGCAAATGTTAACTAAACAAATACAAACAAAAGATTCTTCATAATGCGAACATTCTTATCTAACCAGCCTATGCTTTAAGAATTATGACTGGGGCTGGAGAAATGGCTCAGAGGATAAGAGCACTGGCTGCATTTCCAGAGTCCTGAATTCAATTCATAGCAACCACATGGTGGTTCATAACCATCTATAATGAGATCTGGTGCCCTCTTCTGGCAAGCAGGCATACAAGCAGGCAGAACACTGTATACATAATAAACAAATCTTTAAAAAAAATAATTGTTACTCTTTGACTTCTAGTCTTTGATTTTACTTTATGAATAATGAAACTGGTGTATAAAATTTAGAAATATACATATCAGACAAAGAGTTTGGGTAGATGAATGTAACTGAAATTTCAAGTATATGAAAAAAAAAATCCTGGAACTCCAATTTCAATGTACAACTCCTTAGTCAGGAATTCACAATTACAAATCCATCTTTACTGAATATGCAAACAATTATTCACCACCAATTGTCATTGAGAAAGCAGTGGATAAAGCAGCTGGCTATTGTCTGATAAACCCTGAGACCTGTTGGCATGGGTTCAGCATGCAAACAACTGGAAATCAATCTACCTACACTTCATCATCTTTTTAACAAAGGCAGTAAGGAGACTTTGTCAACTTCTTACTAAAGTCAAGATACAACATGTCCATACTAATTTTTAGTCTAGAAGCAATTAGAAAACTGTGGGAAAATGCAAAATGAAGTCATTTTGGCATTTTTTGTTTCTTAGAAATATATATAGATTCATGGTGATAAGCTGTTCTTTTCTAAATACTTAGATTTTGTTTTTTAAACTTTTATTTAGGTTTTGCTTGCAGTTTAGACTACAATAGGGCAATAGGCTTGTGTTTTCACAGTCTATGAAACATTTCTCTCCACTTCTTCTTACATGAGTACTTCTTACATTCTCCTCTATGATTTGGGGGTGGAAAACAAATTACAATAATTTTTAGGTCATGTCTTGGGTTCTTTAACTCCAGAAATCAATCCATTTCAGTCTTTTTAATAGTTCAATCTGACCTCAACTTAATATGAAGTAGAGGGTGATTTTTGAACTTCTGATCCTCTTGCCTCTAAGTGCTAAGATTACAGGTGTGTACCACTATACTGGGTTTATTTAGTGCTGGGGATGGAATGTATTCCAGACAAGCACCCTACCAACTGAGCTCCTTCCCCATTTCTCTTTAAAGTTTTGAAACTATAAATTCGTTTAAAGTAAATCATACTCTTTTAAAACAGATTTATGTATGTGCACCTGTATATATGCACCTATGTGAATCTACATGAACCACTTACGTGCAGATGCCC